ATTTCTGAAACAAAGTTTAAAGCCTCAGTGCTAATCGCTAGTTGGTTTTTACTTTCGTAATAACATTAACTTCGCTACTAAATGTGGGAACTTGTAAACTTTTACAGGGAGTGCCAGTAACTGTACTGGGAGGAATTGGTGGTGGAGGTGGTCTTGGAGGTGGATTTGGTGGTGGAGGTGGCCTTGGAGGTGGATTTGGTGGTGGAGGTGGCCTTGGTGGTGGATTTGGTGGCGGAGGTGGTCTTGGAGGTGGATTTGGTGGTGGAGGTGGTCTTGGAGGCGGATTTGGTGGCGGAGGAGGCCTTGGAGGTGGATTTGGTGGCGGAGGGGGTAATGTCCTGGCTCTTCTCGTCTCACCACTCCAACTAACTACAGGAGGTGGATATGGAGGAGGAGTGGGTGGTGGATTAGGAGGTGGAGTGGGTGGCGGATTTGGAGGAGGATTAGGAGGAGGAGTGGGTGGCGGATTAGGAGGTGGAGTTTTGGGTGGTGGACTTGGGTACGGTAGAGGTAGACACGGAGGCTATATATGGAATGATTAGTTCTGATTACCGGACCGAATTAGTCACGTGACTATAAAGTGTATTTAGTGGTCTAGAAAGAAAAGAGGGATTTATTATGGATTAACAACTGAATATAATAAATTATGTATTGTATTTATGTGTCGTGGAACTGATATCTCCCTTTGTACATTTTACCTTTAAATTATTAACACATTTTACGTTACCTTTTGAACAACGCACGTCATACCAGCAACATCACCATAAAAATAGATGTACTATCCCCAGCAGTAGTGTGGTGAAGAACTCACGACAAAAATTCACATGACAAACATTCAGAAATCAAAAGAAAACGTAACGAAACGGCCAAGGTAACAGAGAAATCTTTCTCTGATTTAAAATGAATTTCAAGAGACATAAGTGATAGAGTGATTTACGTCGTGTATTTACATACGATTTAATATATAAAGAAGATAATAACATATTCCTTGTCCTGGGATGTAAGTACACAATATAAACCAATCAGTACATCATTTGATATCGATTTATGACTATTAATGGCTGGAGACGGCTTAAATGGGTAATGAAGAAAAACTTTAATATAAGTTTAA